GTCATTGTGAAAGAAGTGGGATGGGCATGCCTTTTTTGCCCGGCCCCCCCCCTTCCATTTTTTTAATGAAAAAAGTTTAAAGAACCACCTTTTTTTTAATATTAAAATCTGAGAACCGGGGTCCAGCATACCTTGTCATCCTAGTACCCGCTCCACGCTTCCCTTTGTTATTGCCCAGCCGCCCGGGGATCCCGAGTGAGCAGCAGTGATTTTGCATCCCTTCTGGGAAGCATGTACTACCGGTCCACCCCTGTTCCCGACCTTTACTATCATTCACTGAAAGGGGCCCGACCGCTCCGTCCTCTTTTTCCTATTTTAGTTCCTCTATGTCGACCCCAAACTGAGGCTCGTAAAATCTTCGCCCACCTGGCCTGCTATAGGCCCCATCTAAAATGAAATATGTTATCCTGGCCTCTGGTTCCTGACTCACTTCACAGCTGCTGCTCCTCTTTTATAGATTCACGTTTATTCACCCTGAATGTTTTCTTGTCGGTTGATCTGGGCTCTCCTCTCCTTTATGGTGCCTGGTCTGTTCACAGGCTGAACACTTCAATAAACAAGGACAAGTGCTGCGTAGAAGGATGTGGCTGCAGAACATGAAGATGAAACTGATCGTCTTGGCGATCGTTATCGCAATCATCCTCATCATCTGGGTTGCTGCCTGCAAGGGTTTCAAGTGTCATTGAGAGTGCCGGAACGTCTTTCTTGTTGCCTGCCTTATACCAGAGTTTATGTCTTGGATCTCAAGTAGTAGTTGCACTTGGGAGTCCGGTGTGGTATAGGAGGAGCAGGAGGAAGGGAGCGGGCGGGGTGGTCGGAGGGTGGGCGGAAAGTGTGTGAGAGGGTGTAGGGGAGGAGGGATGTTATAGCAGAGAGAGTGTTGTTGCTGTTATGGGTTTTCTATCTCTGTCAATTGATGCTACCCGTGGTCTTAAGAACACACCACTACGGCATTTACCGTTGTGGGTTTTGTAAATCTATTTGTTGAAGTAGAGGCTGCAGAGTTTGCAGGGTTGCGTTGTTTTGGTTTGCTGGGCTTTCTCATCGGCTCCTCCTTCGCCGGCTTCTCCGTTTGGTCAGCGATGTGGTATCCATCCCTTGCCACCAAGGGATGTTGCTAGGTAAGCGACGTATTACGTTGTGTGGATGGTGGGTGGAGCAGTGACCGGCCGTGCCAAGGCGTGGACTCCTGCTTTGTTGTGTAGCATAAGGAAAATGGGGTGGGTATGGTGAGAGGAGGTTGTTCAGCTGTGTGTTTCACCCCTCGTCTGACTCTTCTTTCAGATCTTGGAGTTGTTTCATGCGGTGTCTGGTCTGGCCTCCCGTGAAGTGACGTTTAGACTGCGGTGATGACGATCGCGCTGTGATGACGATCGCGCTGTGATGGCGATCGCGCTGTGATGACGATCGATTTGTGGGTGTTATGTAATTGATGCCGAGCTGGGTGGCGGAGTGAGGAGTGCCACCTCTGGGCAGCAAAAATGCGGATGATGGGTTTATGCACGTGTTCATGCGGCCCTTGTGCTGGGAGGGATAGTAGCTCTTATGTTGATTGAAATGCGAAGGCTGGACAGAGAGAGGGAGAGGGAAGGAGGCAGCTAAAAGACTTCTTGCAGTCAGGGGAATAAAGAGGATGAGAGTCTAGTGTCGATGTAGTGCTGTTGTTTTGTTGAAAGAAAGTTAAGAAACCATAATTGGAGAAAAAGGCGTGTGCGTGCGTTTTCGCATGTGAGAGGTTGTGAAAGAGGGCGCGGTGAACTGGTAGTCATGGCGACGGCCATCGTGATGGTGGTGGCAGTGCTGAGGAACAAATGGCAGCTTCAGAGCCAGACCTTGTTGAGGAGATGATTTTAGAACGTGAGAGATTTTTGGTTGCCTAATTTGGTAGCTTTAGCCTCTGTACAGTTGCAACCCCTGCCAACAGGGGGGGGGGGGGGGGGGGGGGGGGGGAGAAGGGGGTTTGTGCAGGGGCAGTGGGAGAAGAAGGTGGTTGTGGGCTTTTGTTGCCCTTGGCTATGCGCTGTTGTTCTGCTATGCTCAACAGCTCCCTGTTCCAACTTTGGAGTGAGGCGAGTCTTGGCTGTTGCCTGTTTTTTAATTACTCTTCAGGACACTGTATCTTCCAGCTCATCGCACTTCCTTTTC